TCTGTCATGCATCCTGGGTCCTCTCATTCTAGCACTGGCCTGTGTCCCATATTGTTAGTATTGAACCTTCAGTGCAGCTGGCACTCAGTCTGCACCTGGAAGCTAAAAGGGGTTTCATGAAAAGAGCTGTGTAAAGAAATGGGGTCATTATGTCTAAGGCTGTGACTTACTGACCTCTTAAAGTGAAGTCCCAATGGCACTTAGCAACAAGAATCCTCCTCTCTGTGAGAGTGAGTTCTCCCAGCTCCTGAAGGCACTGATGGAAAAGTGATGGGGGAGAGGACTGGGATGTGGTAACATGAGCTGAGAGCTCCCCAGGATCAAGATACAATAGATCTAGCTGAGATGGGCTGGCTAATTTTACCTGATGCTGGTTATATGTCTTTGTCCATTTTCATTCCTCCTTCGGGTATTTTTTCCACATACATATTTTCCAGAAAGTGATGAGATATGACAGTGCTTTCTTAACAATTATAGAGCAATTTATACTGGTGAAAAGGACTTCACATGTACTATTGATTACTAGTGGAATGCAGGCAGAACAGGAGTTTTTGAGGTTATTGAGGAACAGAACAGGTAAGTGACTTGCCCAAAGTCCCACAGTAAAGCTACTTGAACTTGAAGTGTAATTCTAGCTCCCTGACCTGTGGTCATGGAAATTTCCTACAGTCCCTGCCCAGCTCTGTGTTCGACTGTTCATCATCTCTTTTCCAGCATCTGTCTCCCTCTGCATAGTCAGGGGGAGGGGATTCATGGTGAGTATGACTGTAGTCTCACTAGGGTGTGTTCCCTTTCAGCCTGGAGAAAGGTCCAGCTGTATGCAGGTAAGTGACTCTTAACTATTTGTGACCTTACTTCCCACGTCTCCATGGGTGTCTGCCTTTAGCCTGGGTCCTCCTCTATCACTGGTCCTCACCAGGATATCACTGGTATCCCTGAATTCCTTGTCACTTTTGTAACCTCTATCCTAAGACTGCAGTGGCTCCTCCTATTATATGGGTCCTTTTTTTTTTTTTTTTTTTTGCAAACCACTACTGGGGTTAGCAGTACCCTCTGAAATGTAGTTGTTTTTGCTCTCAGTGACAATAGAGAGCTCAGTTTTCAGGAAGGATCAGAGTCAGGTGATGACTGTGTAGATGAGGCATGGCAGGTCTTCACAAGATTCAGAAATGACACCAGCCAGTTTAGGAGTCCCTAAATCCAGTCCTTGGTTCTGGATCCTCTGACCTGGAGAATCCTATCTTTTCGGTTCTGGTTTTGGTTTTCCCATTTCTTCCTGGTCTACACATTGATCTTCTGTTCTTCATGCTCTGACTGCCTGCTGGTTGCTGAAGGAATCATTGCTTTAGAGCAGTTTTCTAAATGTGAGGTCTAAATATCCCTAAGTCTTTGTAGATGTATTCCTGGTTTGAAGTGAAAATATTAAAAAATTCTGTATATGTGTATTTGTAACAGGAGCAAAAATGTAATGTATAATTGCTCACAGCCATGGTCTGCCCTCCTAGGAGAATTTTGTATTTGCCTAATGAGGTCAGAGTCTGAGATTGAACTCATTATGGGTAAAGAGTGAATATTGCAAAAGCAAAAAGTTAGAATTGTTTACAAAGGAAACATGGGAGGCAAATCATAGAAGCAAAGACTAGGTGGAGAAGCTCTCAAAAGTGAATGAGACTTGGGAGAGACACCTTGTGGAGGTATTAGATGGACCAGAATGGCCACAGACAGACCTGTTTTCATGGTTGGATTTGGTGAGTGGACAGATAGTTTGCAGGTCATTTGGGTATACAAAATGTAATCAACATCTTGACATCTCTTTGAAAGATTTCAGTAAGGATTATGCTTATTTGTAGCCATTTAAAAAAGTAAGCATTTAACTGAGTTTGTCTCTGATTTTGAGATCATGTCAACCCTCTGGTGGGGGAGGGGACAGGGGTATGACAAAGGCTATCTACTGGACCTGTTAGTATTGTGTGAACTCTGTGTCTATGTAACATTCCATTTCCCTGCTTCAGGATGTTTCTGCTCAGTGTCAGGGAAATGGGTCACGAGAGACAGAGAAGGGTGAGCCAGGAGACCAGGGAGATCTGGGAGCCAAACGTGTGAGGAATCCATTTAGGTAGTCATGTGGCTCTGAGTGCTAATGCACTGGACTGAAAAGTTGGTTTGATCCAGAATATTGGCGGTTTAAGCTCACCAACCGCTCCAGGAGACCCTATACAGGGTGGCTGTGGGTCAGAACTGACTCCATGGCACTTTAGCAATAGCAACAACTGTTTCCCCCAGGGGTTTATTTGTAAACTTTTAGGTTCACTGTAAATAATGAGGAATAATGAGGAGATTATCATTTTTCACTTTGTTGTTTTTAAGTGCCATGGAGTCAGTTCTGACTCATAGGGTTTCTGAGGAGCTGCTGATGGGTTTGAACTGCAGACCTTGTGTTTGGCTGTCCAGTGCTTACTATAGCACCCCTTTCTGGCTGAATTGAAGCCTCCAGTATTTTAATGTGCATTTGCATATCCTTTTGTTTTGTAAGGACTAACACCACCATCACATTGGAATCAATCTTTTCATATGATAGGTTCATAGTGTGTACTGAACAAATGTCTGATATCCATTATTTATAAAATTATCTCAGAATCTGAAGGCTTTTTGCCTGTGAATGACTCCAGCCAGGCAGAGCTTAGTTCCATCTTGTGCCCAGGTTTCAGTGTTCAGATGTCAATTTTTCTTGAGTTCCTCATGAACTCTGACTGCCAAAGTGCTAAAGTAAAAAGCAGTATATTTGAAAAGTCAGTTTTGTGTCATGTTCTCCAGACAGCACAAAAAGAACAGGAAGTCCCTTTCAAGGGCTTTGATGGCTGCAGGGTCACCTGGCTGTGACCTCATACTGTGGAAGTCTCAGACAGAGCCTGTAAGCTTTCCTATTTACAACCATCCCCTCCCTGCTTATGTAGATCAGGTGTGCATCTGCAATGCCTTGTTGCTGCCACTCAGTCCTGGTTGTGGTAGGAGATTCCTTTGTTCTCTTGATAACAGACCACCATGTTGAGGTAGAACTTTGAAATTCATCATGGCATCATATTGATAGTTTCCCTCACCAGGGTGATCTAGATTTGTTTTGTCTTATTTTTACTTCTGCTTAAGATTTATTAAAGTGTCTCTATAATATTTATGGAGACCTGGTATGGTGCTGCAGGTTAATGCACTGGACTGCAAGGTTGTTTGAACTGAAAAGTTGGCAGTTCAAACTCACCAGTCGTTCCTCAGAAACCCTATACAGTATTGCTATGAGTCAGAATCCTTTTGCCAGAACTTAACAACAACAACAATAACACTAATAATATTTATATGGAGTCCTGGTATGGTGCTGTAGTCCTGGACTGCTGATCAAAAAGTTGGAGATTCAAACCCACCAACTGCTCCTTGGAAACCCTATACAGGGTTGCTATAAGTCAGAACCAACTCTATGGCATTTAATAACAATAAC